CAGGGAGCCCGATGTGGGACTCGATCCTGGGACTCCAGGATCATGACCTGAGCCGAAGGCAGTCGCTTAACCAACTGAGCCACCCAGGCGCCCATATAGCATTTACTTTTAAATGAAAGTCTGCTTTTACTTTTAAATGAAAGTCTTACTTATTGGTGTGTTTGTCTGCCTACCGTCATATTCCTTCCCCCTAGAGTGAAGCTTCTTAGGGTCTTATTTACTACACTACATCCCTTTCACCTAGAAAAATGACTGGTATATAATAGGTGTTCAGTCAATAATTATAAGAGTCTTTCAAAACTTTGTCATATGAACTACATATTTCTTTTTCAGGTAACCTTTTCCTAGATTTCAGTTCTGTTTTCCTACATGTGGTTCCCATTGTGACAGATCATTGCAAACTTCTTGGTTATTAGATCAGCAGTTTGGCCATCAAGTGACATTTTTTCTTTACTCTATACCAGTACACTTATTTTAGCAGGAAAAATTTTCTGTATACCAAAACATTTTTTCTACTTTTGTATTTCTGCATAAAAATATGAATCCAATCAACTCACCATTCTAGAGTAGCCTGAAAATTACTATATGTATTTCTGCTTTAATTTGGAATTTGGTAATGTAAAAGATATTCCATTCAGAATTTTTGGTTAGCCTTAGTATATTATTTTGCTTAAGGGTGTTTTAGTCTTTTCTAAAAGCAGATAACTATGAGTGTTGGAAGGAGGCACACTGGCATCGTATCTGCCACGTACTGAATAGTCTTAGTTCATTTGAAGTTATTCCATCTGTTTTCCCTGACTGTACAAAGAAATGATAGTGATTTGAAGATTGTTAGATGTTTCTCATCCTGGGTCATTGATCTGTTAATGTTTTTGGTGTAGATAGAAAAAAAATAAATACCTCTTTTTTTATATTTCTCAAGAGTGCTTCCCAGATTCTCCATACTCAGTTTCTTTTAAATGATTTTTATACCCTTTTCCCCCTCAGGGCTGAGCATTTTCAGAAAATTGTATTGGCATGATACATGCACATAATGTTCTAGCCAGCGTTATAACAGATACATAAATACATGGCGGGTCCTCACTGTTCTGTTTTACATAGCCTATGCAGATGTGTAGTCTGTTGGTATCACAGTCTGACCTGCTACTCTTGCATATCATTAGATAGCCTAACATGGTTTTACTTTACTACTCTTGCATATCATTACATAGTCTAACATGGTTTTACAGTTACTCTGCATGAAGAACTCTGTATTTTTCCACCATAGAAGATAAAGGTTTTAAAAGAACTAGGTGACAATACCACTATTTTCAGTGAACTTACCTTACTAGAAAGATAACAAAAAATGAGCTTTTATGAAGCAACATGAGATGAGGTTACTGATCAGGTGTTGCACAAATATACTAGAAAAAAGAATGGAAAGTAATGGTAGGTAATAGTATTTGGTATTGATTTTATGTTTTTCATCTTTTTTTTTAAGATTTTATTTATTTGACAGAGACATAGCAAGAGAGGGAACACAAGCAGGGGGAGTGGGAGAGGGAGAAGCAGGCTTCCCGCTGA